TAAAAAAGATATATTTTGTAATTCAATTTAACTTTTTTCTACTTTCGCCTTTATTACTTTTTTTACTTTCCTGTAAAAAAACAAACACTGTACTACTCTGGGGGTGATCAGGGATTTTTTTTTCACACTTTAATTGCTGTTACAATGATGATCATTGAAACAGCAATGTTTTGAACTGTCATGAATGGGTTACATTCATAACAGCTGTTATTAGTAGTGATCTGTGATTGGCTACAGCTAAATCACACAGTACGGGGTGCTGTGATTGGCCCAGGTACCATGTGATAGCCGTGGGCCAATCACAGCATCACTGTATAGGAAGCACAGCTGTTATGAATGAGATATGCAATCACATGATCTCTCGGGCTGCTCAAAGCGCCTGGGTACAAGGAGCTGCAATCCACTGAGCGTCTCTAACCCAGAGCAGGGTGGATGTACATGTGTGTGATCCAGCCTGCCTGTTCTGTCTGCCTGCAGTAAATGTACTGTGGGCAGATGGCACGTAGTCATGAATATCTATTGTAAGCGGTTTCTGGGACATAGTTATAAACATAGTGACATCCCAGAAACCACTCCTCAGATGCTTAATTGGTCAGATGGCCTCTGTCAACACCCCTTCGATACCACAGAAAAAGGGAATTCCAGTACATTTTGCCAGCTCTCATTTTAACATCAAACCAAGGAACACCTAACAGGACTTGTGAGAGCCACTCTACCGTTTTTGCTTATGCACTGGACTGAAACCAAGGATTTTCAAGTATTCTTCATTTTCAAATCCTTTTATTTCTCTGTTGCTGTATGGTCTCTTTATTTCTGTGTAATACCCTTTTACTATAAATATTTTTATTTGCACCATTATTATTATTATACAGTATATATAAAGCGCCAATAGTTCGCTCAGTGCTGTACATTACAAAGGGGGACAGAACATGTGACAGAACAATACCAATACAATGCAAAACATGAGGGGATCGAGGGCCCTGCTCTTTCAAGCTTACAATCTAGGAGGGAGGGGATGGTGGCACAGGAGGAGATAGCTGTGGGGGATGGAGTGGTAGGAAGAGTGGAGGAGGTCGGCAAGTTAGCAGGGGGCGGGGTAGGCTTCCCTGAAGAGATGGGTTTTCAGGGTGCGCCTAAAGGAGAGGAGAGTAGGTGATAATCTGATGGGTTGGGGCAGGGAGTTCCAGAGGATGGGTGACACCCTGGAGAAGTCCTGGAGGCGGGCATGGGAGGAGGAGACCAGGGAACTAGAGAGAAGGAGGTCTTGTGAGGAGCGGAGTGTGCGTGCTGGGCGGTACTTGGATATTAGGTCAGTGATGTAGTTCGGGGCAGTATGGTGGACAGCTTTGTACATCAGCGTTAGGATTTTGAATTTGATCCGTTTGCACAATCGGAAGCCAGTGGAGGGATTGGCAGAGGGGGGTGGCAGAAACGGAGCGGTTGGAAAGGTGAATGAGTCTGGCAGCCGTATTCAGGATGGACTGAAGCGGGGGGATAGCCAGCGGCGAGGCAGGCCAGTGAGGAGGGAGTTGCAGTAGTCGAGTCGTGATATGATGAGGGAGTGGATGAGCTGTTTAGTGGTTTCTGGAGTTAGGAACGTGCGGATTTTGGCGATGTTGCGGAGGTGGAGTCTGCACGAGTTTGTTAAAGAGTGGACTTGGGGCTGGAAGGATAGGTTGGAGTCCAAAATGACACCAAGTACTCTGGCCTGCGGGGCGGGTTTGATGGTGGCGTTGTTGGACATGATGGAGAAGTCAATGGAGGGTGGTGTCCGGGCTGGAGGGAAGACAAGAAACTCGGTTTTGGAGAGGTTCAGTTTAAGGAAGTGGAGCGACATCCAGTCTGATATGTCGCTCAACAGGTGTGTGATTCGGGCGGAGACCGAGGGGGTGAGGTGGGGGGTTGAGAGATAGATTTGTGTGTCGTCGGCATAGAGGTGGTAGTTGAAGCCGTGAGAGTGTATGAGTTGGCCAAGGGAGGAGGTGTAGATGGAGAAGAGAAGGGGCCCGAGGACAGAGCCTTGAGGGACCCCAACAGAGAGGTGGAGTGAGAGGGAGGTGGCCTTTTTCATTATTAATCCCATTTTGAAAAGTGTAGAAATTGTCGATAAAGGCTTTTAATGAAAACTAAAAGAATCTGTCTCTTGAAGAGTGCTACAGTTGCATAAATCTCTGACCATACCTCTGTCTGTGGTGACAGTGCATGCTACAGACATTTATTCTTTTTTATTATATCTTTTATTAAAATTTTTCAATACAAAAAGAGTATCTAATGCACACAAGAATAAAAAGAACTTCACCAATACATAAATTCCATTTGTATCATCTTATCCCTTGCCCTGACCCTTCCTCCCAACCCTCCCCCCCTGCAATTACCACAGTCCATATCCAAATTCCTAGTTTCTATCCCTTCTCGTGATTATCTATCTATATCTGTATCCCTTCTCTTCTATATCCTTCTCTCTGTCGGGAACTCCATTAGAACTCCCTCTAATACTCTTCCACCCATATTATAGCCAGTTCCAGATATCTTTTAGATGTTTTGAAAATTAACCAGTTACTCCACATTTTCCTAAATTTTTCTATTCTATCTTCCTCAGTATGACACAACTCCTCCATCCTGTAGATATTTTCCACTATGTTAACACAGTCATTTATTCTTGGTGGATCTGGGGCTAGCCAGACTTTGGGAATCAAGCTCTTAGCCGCACTGATTAGATGATATGGTACCCTGTTCTTATGTAGTTTTACTAAAGGTTCAAATTTATAAAATAAACATGTCCACGGGCCTCTCTGTACAGTATTCCGTTTCCTGAATATATTGTAATATTCCCTTCCAGTAATCCTGTATTTCCAGGCAATCCCACTATGTGTACCATTGTTCCCTGTTCCCCACATCTTCTCCAACATAAAGTGTGAAACATCTACTTGTTGTTTATGTTCCTTACTCGGTATAATATACCATCTAGCCAAACATTTATAATTCATTTCAACTGTGCTCATATTCGTCACCTCGTGTTAATTTGAATATTTTATTCTTTGTTGCTCGTTCAATTTTGTTTCAAGCTCCTGTTCACATTTTTCCAAGAACTGGGGAGGATCGATACTCTCTATATCCAGAAGAATCTTATAAATCCTGGAGGTGCCCTTTTTTAGGAACTGAAGTTACATTCAACAGTTTTTCAAATGGATACAGAATCTTCGATGTCCTCAGTGGTTGTGGGAGCATTGAGACAAAATTAACTAATTGGCCATACCGCCACTCATCTAATGTGAAAAATAAATCCTTTTTTTTTCTTTAACCTCCCTAGCAGTATGATTATGTCCATATTTCTGTGCTCAAAGCGGTACATTTTTTTTGCATGGAAATATGTATTTTTTTTATTGTAGGCCTGTAATTTTTAGGAATAACTCATCTGTCCGAACAAGAGTCTAGTAAACATCCCGGGTAGGATAAAACTTGAAACACGAAATCATAAATTCTAATTTAATAAATAATCATAAAAAAATAATATAATAATAAATTTAATTCAATAATATAATCAAACCAAAAACACTGAAATTTGAAATATAGCGCCAAGTTCGCACATCACTGAGCAGAGTCGCAAAATCGTTTTCAGTGTCTGATGACGAATTTCTCCACAAATCATTATCACTCAATTCTGCAAGTGGTTCTGATTTACTAAATCGCTGTTCTCTAGCTGGTCTAAAACCGCTTTTGACCTAAAAGGGACACTTTTTGGACACCATGGACGTTTCTCAGTTTCCAGGCAGAAAGAACAGTAAAAATGCAGGCAGGGCACAGGACAAAGCACTAGGGACAAAATGTATGTGAAATGGTTTGATACAGTAATGTTTTACTATGTGATTTTAGTGAATGTCACTTTTTGTCATTTTCAAATTTCCCGCCGTTCCGTCCCCCGTACGTCCCGACGCTCGCAGGGGACGGAACCCAGAGGACAGATGCCGGCATCAACCGGATTACATTGCCGGGGACACTGCAGGAGGGACATCGCGGGAGCGCAGGACAAGGTAAGTGATCGAGGGATCCCGAAGCAGCACCGCATGGTAAGCCCGAGTGTAGCTCGGGGTTACCGCTTGTGGTACTGAAACTGAAACTTTACCCCGAGCTACACTCGGGAATACCGCCAGGGAGGTTAAGTCTGAAATAGTGTGCAATTTCCCCTTATTCAGTATATCTTTCAAACGTGTGTTCTTATCTTTAAACCATTTCCCACAAATATTATCCTTCCCTGGGGGGGGGGGGGGGAATACTCCGTTCCTGCCAAGGCAATCATAACTGAATTATATTTCCATCCCTTTTGCTTATACATTCTGTCTTAAAAGCTTAAAACTTTCTGTCAGTGGACTAATATTCACATCTAATGTGTGGAATTTATGTGGTACCAAAGCCATCTGCCCTAACTGTTCCTTACTCAAAATCTCTTCTATAGTCACCCATCCTTTACCTTGTGAATTAAATATCCAATCTATTATTTGTGATATCACAGCTTGATAATATTTAACATTAGGCATAGCCAAGCCCCCATTCCCTTTTGCCCTACACAGTACCTCATAGCTACAGTATTTTTCACTCCATGAGACACCCTCCCCCCCCCCCCCCAAAAATGGGGCAAAATGTATTCCCCGTCACCGATGCCATGTTAGAATACTGGGCTGGCCGCTCGGCTCTACTGTGCAGAAGAACCTGCTCCTCGGTCCTACCTGTTCCACGGTCCAGCTGTGTCCTGCTTTCTCCGGCTGTCTTCTCTCCCTGGCGCCGGCATCTTCAGTGTAGGCAGCCGGATGTGACAGCATGCGGCTTCACAGCCGGGTGCCCATTACGCATGCACGAGAAACGCTGCACTTTGTGAATGGCCCCGTAGTCTTCTGGGACCTGTCACATGTCCCACAAGACTACGGGGAGGGATGGGTAGAACAACTCCGCAGAAGTGAGTACCTGTCAAATTCGGGTACCTGCTCCTCCTCCACTCCCCAAAGGTCCGCAGCCTCTATTCATCTTCCTGTAGTATGCCCGCAGCCTCTGGTCATCTCCTGTAGTATGCCCGCAGCCTCTGGTCATCTCCTGTAGTATGCCCGCAGCCTCTGGTCATTTCCTGTAGTATGCCCGCAGCCTCTGGCCATCTCCTGTAGTATGCCCGCAGCCTCTGGCCATCTCCTGTAGTATGCCCGCAGCCTCTGGCCATCTCCTGTAGTCTCCGCAGCCTCTGGCCATCTCCTGTAGTATGCCCGCAGCCTCTGGCCATCTCCTGTAGTATGTCCGCAGCCTCTGGCCATCTCCTGTAGTATGTCCGCAGCCTCTGGCCATCTCCTGTAGTATGTCCGCAGCCTCTGGCCATCTCCTGTAGTATGTCCCGCAGCCTCTGGCCTTCTCCTGTAGTATGTCCGCAGCCTCTGGTCATCTCCTGTAGTATGTCCGCAGCCTCTGGTCATCTCCTGTAGTATGTCCGCAGCCTCTGGCCATCTCCTGTAGTATGTCCGCAGCCTCTGGCCATCTCCTGTAGTATGTCCGCAGCCTCTGGCCTTCTCCTGTAGTATGTCCGCAGCCTCTGGCCATCTCCTGTAGTATGTCCGCAGCCTCTGGTCATCTCCTGTAGTATGTCCGCAGCCTCTGGTCATCTCCTGTAGTATGTCCGCAGTCTCTGGTCATCTCCTGTAGTATGTCCGCAGTCTCTGGTCATCTCCTGTACTATGTCCGCAGTCTCTGGTCATTTCCTGTACTATAGATCCATTATCTCCTGCGCTCAAAGACTCAGATCAAACAGGCGTTAGTGACAAGCAGCGTGTTGTGTGTTCATCCACTGGTGATCAGAGGTTGTGCAGCTCTATCATGAAGCTGGGGAAGCTTAATAAAACTGTAGAGGAAGATGAAAGAAAGAGCGCACAAACCTTGCGCATTACCTCAATAAATAGTGACTAATTTTATTAATAAGGAAATATACTCACAAAATGATTGTATAACAGGCATAAGTAACCATAATCCAAACAGGGTTACAGGTAAATCAAAAAGGGGGGGGTATGAAGGCTAACATGTTTCGAAGGGTGCTCCCTTCTTCATCAGAGCTGGGTTTGGCAGATAGAAACTTCAGTATCGCAGAGTTCCCATGGCAAGGAGATATTCAGCCACTGAGTGTCAGTATTACAGCAGTTCAGCCTGTACTGCTGTAATACTGACACTCAGTGGCTGAATATCTCCTTGCCATGGGAACTCTGCCATACTGAAGTTTCTATCTGCCAAACCCAGCTCTGATGAAGAAGGGAGCACCCTTCGAAACGCGTTAGCCTTCATACCCCCCCCCCTTTTTGATTTACCTGTAACCCTGTTTGGATTATGGTTACTTATGCCTGTTATACAATCATTTTGTGAGTATATTTCCTTATTAATAAAATTAGTCACTATTTATTGAGGTAATGCGCAAGGTTTGTGCGCTCTCTTTTTCATTTCCTGTACTATGTCTGCAGTCCATTGGTTCAGAATATTTTTTTCTTCTTTTAAACACCTTAACATTTTAGGCCCTATTCCTAATATCTCCAGCGTATCGGTCATGAAACCCCAGTTAACCCTGTCAAAAGCCTTTTCGACATCAATTGACAGGAATATTGTCGGCAGTCTGTTTTCCCTTTGTAGGAGGAGCAATGATATCAGGCCATTGTACCTACCTTCTCTTCCAGGAATGTATCCTATCTGATCCCAGTGTATCCACTCCGGCATCAACTCCTTCAGTCTGGATGCGAATACCTTAGCGTACAATTTGGTCTCAATGTTTAGTAAGGATATGAGCCTGTAACTGGCACACTGTGTGCTATCTTTTCCTTCATTAAGTATAATCGTTATATATATGTGCCTGCAGTGACTTCTCCCTCATTTCCAGCCCCTCCCCTATTGCATACATATATCTACACATTTTAGGGACTAAGAGATCTCTACATTTTTTATAATAACCCCCAGTATATCCATCTGGGCCAGGGCTCTTTCCTATAGCCGTATTTTTTAGGGCCATGGTGATTTCCTCTGGGGTAATATGTCTCTCTAGGGCATCTAATTTTTCTTCTGCTATTCTTGGCAACTCCACTTCATTTAAATATTTTGTTTTTTTTCTTTTCCTCCTCCGTTTCCTTTTGGTTTCTAGCTATCACATCGTACAGCCGGCTATAAAATTTTTGGAACCTATTGGCAATATCAGTGGTGGCATACACCATTTCTCCTTTGTCATCTAATTTTTTTCTATAATGTTTTTGGATTTCTTTTCCTTTAGCTTCCTCACCAAGTATTTTCCAGGTCTATTCCTCCACTGATATTTCTTTTGAGACCCTGTTGAATATCCTTCTCGACTCCTGTCCCATAAGATCTTTTTAATTCTTCTCTTTTAATAATTATCTTCTAATATACATCTGTACCTGTCTTCTTTTTATGTGACTGTTCTAACTTGTGGAGCTCCTCCATCACAGTCTATTTTTCCCTTGTTCCTTCTTTTTTTTTTCTGCTCCCATCGAAATCAATATTCCTCTGATATATGCTTTATGTGCTTCCCAGATTGTAGCCACCAATACCTCCTCAGTCTCATTGAGTTTAAAAAATTGCTTAATTTCCTGCCTTAACCCTTTCTCTAATTCAGGATCCTGTATAAGCATCTCATTTAGTCTCCACATAGTTACCTTATCCTGATCCCCTCCTACCCGTAGTCTCATTGTGACAGGAGAATTATCAGAAATAGACATAACCTCTATGTTGGCACTAAACAATGACTCCAGTTGTCTATGTTTGATCATTATTTAATCTAATCTTGAATACGATCCATGTTCTGAAGAGAATGCAAAATCTCTTTCTCTTCGATGTTTTACTCTCCAAGTATCGATCAGTTGACACTGATATAATAACCCTCTTCAATAATTTTGATTTCCTGTCCCCCTCTCTCTGTGCACAATATGACGCATCCATTTGAGAATCCAAACACAGGTTTAAATCTCCAGCCACAACCAGACTACCCTTTTTAAATTCAGAACGTTTTCCTAACACTTCCTCCAAGAATGTTACTGGATTTTTATTCAGGCAGTAGATATCAACTAGTGTATATTCAGATTCTTGTAATTTTCCCCTCAGAAATAGAAATCGGCCCTCTGGGTCCTCCATTCTTCCCTCCAGGATAAAACTCACATTTTTTTTTAAACCCAATTGCTACCACTTTAGCCCTTTTAACTGGAGAGTCTGCGTAGTACCACGTTGCGCAGTACTTCGTATATAATATTTGTATCATGGGTTATATGTGTCTCTTGAAGAAAAACTACCTCTGTGGAGTGTTGGTGAATTTCCCAAAGTATCTTATGTCTTTTTGTTGGGGGAGTTTAACCCTTTCACATTATAAGTCATAAACTTAATCAAGCTCATTTCAACTATTATTTCCCTACCCTAGCAGGATTTCCAACACAAGACAGATGCAGACATTTTGAGATATGAACTTTCTCCCTTCCCTACCAAAAACCCCAATTTTCTCCCCCCCCCCCCCTTCCCATTTGCCCACCCATTCCTCCCCTCCCTTCCCCCTTTTTTCTTTACCCTAAAACCCTCCTGACCTACATATTGCCCTGGAATCTGTTGTGAAATATTCTCACTAGTGATTCCTAGTATGGGGTGAGACTCAATACACGCACACCGATCCCAATCTTTAACTCGTATCATCATTCTTGGCCTCCAGACCACCCACCAGATCCACGTTCTCACTGCCCCTCCATCTCTCATTATCTCAAACCGGGAAGGAAGGGACTGGGGGCGAGGAAACCATGGTGCAGCCGTGGTGTCAGGAATGGACTCGCCAATGGTGGTGGGACTCACCTGCCAGAAGCTCACTTCTGCAATCAAGCCTTCACCTGAGGCTGATTGCAGGAGGTGTATTTAAGGAATGGGCAGGCCTGCAGTCAGGGCCTTGGTGTATTGTTCCCATTAGCCCCTGTACCTGCATCCTGTCTGCTTCCTGTCTGATCCTGACTCTGCTTGATCCTGACTCTGCTTGAACTCTGCCTGCACCGACCTCGGCTACTCCTGACCAATCTTCTGCCTACTCCTTGTACCTTGTCTGCCTGTTAGCTACCGACCCGGCTCGCCTGACTACGTTGTGCTCCATATTATATATATATCAGTTAAGGTTTGGGTTTGTTGCACCTTGTTGTACGTATTTGTGTTAGTTTTGGGTTTGGTTTGTTGCACTGCGTTTATGTTTGTGTTGCCCTTAATAAATTATATGGTTTTACACGCTATACCTGAAGTCTGTGTTTCCCTGTGTCGGTCCACACACCTCTGGTCATACCTGGAGCCCTGACACGTGGAGGACCAGGAGGAAAGGAGAGAGAGAGAGAGAGAGAGGGAAAAAAAGGGGGGGGGGGGCTCTCTCTCCAAACCTCAATACCCAACCCCTTCGCCACCCACCACACCACATCCCGATACTTCTTCTTAGGTACCCGCTGCCATTTTTCTAATCCCTGTTCTCCACTCTCCAGGCCCCTCTGACCATTCTTCAAGATCTATTTTCTGTAAGTCTAATTTCTCGCAAAAGTCATTGAGATCTTCTGGGAACCTCAGCCTTGCTGATTTTCCATCTTTCAATTAAATTAAGCATGCTGGGAAGCCCCAGTTATATCAAACTTTTTTCTCTTTCATATGCTCCAACGGTTTCAAAAATCTTCTTCTAGCCAGTGTCTATGGAGCAATGTCTGCAAAAATATGCAAGTTTGTTTCCTCATATTTTATTTCGGTAAAATAATGCAAACCTTTCCATATTCTCTATCTTTGAAGTGATGAAATCGAACTATCATGTTTCTGGGGCTTTCCGCCTGTACTCCTTTTGGCCGTCTGATCCTATGTACTCTCTCCATTTTTAACTTTATTGTCGCTGATATTCCCATTATTGGATTACACATGCTTTTTATTTTCTCCCATAGATCCTCTTCCTGTTCCTCTTCCTCTGGTAGACCCCTGATCCTTAAGTTATTTCTTCTATTGCGATTCTCCTGGTCTTCCACTATAAATGAGAGCTTTCTCTGTTCTCTACGCATCGCCTCTGCTTGCGTTTCTAAAATGATTGAGTAATTGCGTGTATACCTCCATTCTTCCCTCTAGTTCTTCAATTTGAGTTAGTATCCGACCCAAATCATTGCGTAATATCTCCATCTCACTTTTCATGAACATCTCTAGTTTCGGACATTTCTGCCATCTCAGTTTTTGTAGGTATTTGTGACATGGCTCCTTGCTGTTCCATATTTTCTTGTTCTCTTACACTTTCCATGATTCTCTTCCAGTGTCTCGAATGACAGTCTAGCTTGATCTCCATCATACTTTTTAATTTCTTCATGCTGTTTCTCCATGGTTTGGGTCTCTGGGCTTTTCTCCTGCAGGGGCATGTATTTTCTGATTGTGCTTGCATTTGCATTTTATTGGGGGGTTTTTGATCCCCCCCCTTTAACAGATCTACTTTTCATTTCATTTAAGGATTTATCGTCAAAAAGGAAAGACCCTTTTTTCTTTTCTTCTCATGGCTTTTACCACCTCTATTGTGTTACTTTAGGAGCAGTAATAATCTAGCCAGTTCCTCCAGCCACTAAACAACCCGACTCATGTATTCCTCATATAGTTCTCCTTCCCCCCAGTGCACAGGTGTATTTTAGATTGCAACAATGTATACAAGGAACAACAAAGGATTAAATGTCCTGCCAATACCTACAGCAACTCACCACCACCTTCCGAGCCGACCAAACAGGACTGGCCAATCCCACTGCACCTACAGTCCCTGCTGAGATCTCCAAGCCAGGCTCCATGAAGGTCCAGGCGGATCAGTGGGGGGAACTCTATGTGTCAAATGACCTGGGTGTTCCAGGGTTTCCCAAGGCTGCTGTCTCACTGCTCTTCTTTTCCTCTAGGACGGTTTTTCATATTCAAAATTGCCGCCATAGTCTCCTGGGCTGTCACATGGGTGGTCGCATGGTCACATGGTCGGTCACCTAGACGCTCTCACAGTCCCCTTCTACCCCAGTACTGCTGCCTCCAGCTCCCAATCCATCGGGGTCGGGGAGGTCCACCGCCACCCACGACTCTCCCAAGGGCTCCTCCGGTCAGCACCGATCACCACCGCATCCCCTCATTGGCCGCCACCCCTCATTGGCCGCCACCAGGACCGACCGCACTCAGGGTCCCCGCGGGATCTGAAAATGCACCGGCCCGGGCCTCAGGTAAGAAAAGCAGAAAGCTGTCACATGTGACGGGCGTCTGGTGCTCCTACTCCTCACAGTGCCTTGTTCAGGCCCCTCCCTGACTTAGCCAGGTTTCTGAACTACCATATTGACAGACGTTTATTCTAAACTCATAGTTGTTATTGCTATTATTGTGGGTTTCCTCCTTCTTGGTAAAAAGGTGTTGGCAGTTTAAAGAGTTAATTGCTTAATTAACAATCACTCTCAATCTGTTGGCACTTAGATTGTGGTTCAGCGAGCTGGAAAATCTTTGTGCAGGGTGCAGCTAAGAGTGGCATTGTTACGTAAGTGACAGAGCGGTGTGAGATTGGCTAGCCTTTTGCCACGAGTCTGTGTCAGGAAACTAGTGAAGCTAATGCCAATTCTTCTGCGGCTCATGCTAAACAGTCAACTCACCTTTCAACCAAGGTACGTGACAGTCAGTGAAAAGGGTCGGGCACCGCGTTTGTCACACTGGCAGTAGGGACAGGGTGGCTGGGGTGAGCACACGGCTGGATTGAGGGACAGGTGAGTGTCTGTTTTTTGAAAGTTAGCATCAACAGTTTTTGTAGCTGCTGACATATTTTTTTTTTAACCACAAGCCTACAGGGCACTTATACCCCCTTCCTGCCCTGGCCAATTTCCATATTTCAGCGCTGTTGCACTTTGAATGACAATTGCGCGGTCATGCAACACTGTACCCATATGAAATTTTATCATTTTTTTGTGACAGAGCTTTATTTTGGTGGTATTTAATCAACTCTGGGTTTATTTTTTCTTAAACAAATCTGAAAATTTTGAAAAAAACCAAAAAGTTTTTTCTTAGTTTTTGTTATAAAATGTTGCAAATAAGTGATTTTTCTCCTTCACTTATGTGCGTTAATGAGGTTGCAGTGATGGGCACTGATAGGCTGCACTGATGGACACTGATAGGTGGCACTGATGAGGAGCCACTGGTAGGTGGCACTGATGGGCAGTGACAGGCATCACTGATGGGCACTGAAAGGCAACACTGATATATGGCACTGACTGGCACTGTTAGGTGGCACTGACTGGCACTGATAGGTGGCACTGATAGGCAGCACTGACAGGTGGCACTGATGGGTGACACTGAAAGGCAGCTCAGATGGGAACTGATATGTGGCATTGATGTGCACTGGTAGGCACTGATATGTGGCATTGATGTGGCACTGACACATGGTACTGATGAGCACTGACAGCTGGCACTGATAGACACTAACAGGTGGCACTGCTGGGGCTACACTCAGTGCTCTGATGATCAGTGTACATGTCCCCTCCGCGGAATGCCGATTACTGGCTCTCCTCTCAAGCTGTCAGGCATGTAAACAGGCATCTCCCTGTCTACATGTGATCAGCTGTGATTGGACACAGCTGATCACATGACCAAGCCGACATCTTCGGCTCTGTGGATCGGTGATCCGCTGTGTCCGAGGGACACAGTGCACCGCCAATCGCCGCACTGCGTGCTCCGGGAGCCGCGCATGCGCGGTTAGAATGGGAGGACATCATGGGGTTTATTTACTAAAGCTGGAGAGTGCAAAATCAGACTCACTTCTGCATAGAAACCAATCAGCTTCCAGGTTCCATTGCCAAAGCTTCATTGAACAAGCTGAGGTTAGAAGCTGATTGGTTTCTATGCAGAAGGGAGTCTGATTTTGGACTCTCCAGCTTTAGTAAATAAACCCCATATGACATCCTCCCAGAACGAGAGAACCACCTTGTGTCCATCATATTACTATATGGCGGGAGGGAGATGGTTAAAGAGATGGGAGTTCCACATTAAGTTTGATGTGCAGTCAGGATTCTATAACTGTAAACACAACCCAAATGAGTTTGTACACTCGGCCTGAGCCTAGAGCTATACTGAGAGATTTAATTGTTTCTGGACTGATAACTCAATAGCATCACAAAGCTTTCCACCCTGCTCAGATATTTTTTAAAAATCGACTTTGGTTGAGCCTAATGTAGGGCCATCTAGGGCTTAAAGCGGAGCTCCAGTCTCTGGTGGAAAAAAATAGAAGTCAGCAACTACAAAAACTGTAGCTGCTGACTTTTAAAGAACAGCCACTCACCTGTCCAAGGATCCAGCGATGTCCTCACTGACCATCTTGTGTCCCCGGCATCTTTGACAGCTTTAGAGCCAGGTGCCCATTGTGCATTGTGAATGGTCCCGCAGTCTTCTGGGACCCATCATGTGATGGGGGGGTGGGTGTTGAGGGAGGAGAACTTCTGCTTCCGATCACCTAGGAGATCGAAGCGGAGGTGGAAGTGTGTACCTGTCAAAAATAGGGTAATCTGCCCCCCTTCCGCACTCCCCAAAAGCAGCCAATCCTTAACGGAGAACAGGGGACTAGGCCTTAAAGTAGAACTTCCCCTTTTGGGTGGAGCACCACTTTAAAAGTATACAGTTGTGCTCAAAAGTTTGCATACCCTGACAGAAATTGTGAAATGTTGGCATTGATAATAATATGACTTGTCTTGACAAAAAACTTCTATTTAAGAATAAGCCATTTATTATCACACGGTTGTTTGCCTCCTTTTTAAATCATAATAATAACAGAAATCACCTAAATGACCCTGATCAAAAGTTTACATACCCTGGAATGTTTGGCCTTGGTACAGACACAGGTGATACACGCAGGTTAAAATGGCAATTAAAAGGTTAATTTCTCACATCTATAGTTTTTTACATTGCAATTAATGTCTGTGTATAAATAGTGTGGCAGTATAAGGCCAAGCCACTGTGTGATTAGGCAGTTTGCGCCAGTTTTTGTAAAAGGCAAGCACACTAATGGCAGAGGTGTATGTGGGCTTTCTCTGGTTTCTGCAGCTCTGGATCAGAACATTCAGTCCTTTGTCCGGGTTTTGCTAGACACCTGCAATTTGGAGTACACGGAAGCGAGATGTCATTATATACTCAGGTCTGAGGATAGATAGCTCAGGGCTCCCAGTTGGAGACCGCTCCCAGTGGGGGGAGATGGAAGGTACAATTGAGGGGCCCGAGGATCCAGCCAAAACCAGGAGACAGAGGTCTCAGTTCCAGGATTCAAGTCAGCTACTATCAGGGTGTCTGGAAAAACCCCATCCATAGGCTAGAGGTTGGCCTTACAGCTGGGTGCTGTGTCTGAAGGCTAGAGAGCTAAGTATCCAGGAAAGGTACTGCAGTTGAAGCTGAGTGAGCTTATTAGCCAGGTGGCTCTGCATTTTCCACTATATGGATTTTCTGTTCAAGTTAGAGAAGATCCCCTGCATGGGAAATCACTAATTTGTAAACTTTTGCCTTCTTTTAAATAAAAGTTGGCTACCAAGCCCTCAAAATATAATTCCTGTCTGCCGTGGACTCACTAAAACAATGCATCTACCACGAGAGCTAACTACCCCATGTCACTATAGTCAATAAGTTTGTTACGTGAATGCACTGAGAAAGTTAGATACTGAGCCATGGGGAACAGAAAAGAACTGTCAAAAGACCTGTGTAACAAAGTAATAAAACTTTAAAAAGGAAAAAGGATATAAAAAAAAAAAAGATATCCAAAGCCTTGAATATGCCAGTCAGTACTGTTCAATCACTTAAGAAGTGGAACATTCGGGGATCTCTTGATACCAAGCCAAGATCATGTAGACCAATAGAGATTAAACAAAAAGAAAGTCTGAGGTTGCCTCTGCTGGAGACAGTAGTCTCTGTGTGGATGACAATGATGCATTACACTTTCCTGTCTCATTGATTGCTGGCTGCCAAGTAGCTTCTGATTATTTTAATGCTTTTCTTTAAGCAGTGACGTGGATACCAGAAAAATGACCTCACCTTCAGTAAAGAAAAGATGAGAAAAGATTGACCATGGCATTAGGTTTTGATGAAGGCGCTTACTGCGCATGCTCCGAAACGCATCACTGCCCCTTTTGACTTCATCTCCGGCATATGCGCTCCACGTCGGCGGTGTGCGTTTCACCAGGCATCGTGGAAGAGTGGTGGCCATCTTGGACCTCTGTTCTTTGCTTCCTCTGCAGCTGCTGTCAAGAACCCTGCAGAGACTTCACAGATGAGCTTATTGATCATGAAAATCCTGTAAGTGTTTTTAACTGTTTCTGAATAAAACACTGTGGAATACGACACTTAGAAGTGCCTATCTGTCCTCTTCCACAGACCAAGAAAGACTGCAGCCACAACTGCCAGAAGAATTGCTCGGGATACAAAGAAAAACCCATAGGTAATCTCAGGAGAAATACAAGCTGCTCTAGAAAAAGACAGTGTGGTTGTTTCAAGGAGCACAATACGATACCTGAACAAAAATGAGCTGCATGATCAAGTTGCCAGAAAGAAGCCTTTACTGCGCCAATGCTACAAAAAAAGCCCAGTTACAATATTCCCAACAACACCTTAACAAGCCTCACAGCTTCTAGCTCACTGTAATCTGGAGTGGTAAGACCAAAAAAAGAGCTCTATAGTCACAATTGCAAGCACTATGTTTGGAGAGGGGTCAACAAGGCCTATACTAACAAGAATACCATCCCTACTGTAAAGCATGGTGGTGGATCACTGATGTTTTTGGGGTGAGTGAGCTCTAAAGGCAAGGGCAATCTTGTGGAAATTGATGGCAAGATGAATGCAGCAGGCTATCAAAAAATACTGGCAGATAATCTGCATTGTTCTGTATGAAAGGTGTGCATGGGACGTGCCTGGACTTTCCAGCAGGACAATGACCCCAAGCACAAGGCCAAGTTGACCCTCCAGTGGTTGGAGTGGCCATCAGTCTTCTGACCTTAATATCACCAAGCCACTCTGGGGAGATCTCAAACGTGCTGTTCATCATGCAAGACTATGATGGACTTTGCATGACCTGGAGGCATTTTTCCAAGAAGAATGTGCAGTTATTCCACCTGCAAGAATTCAGGGCCTCATAGACGACAATTACAAAAGACTACACACTGTCATTGATGCTAAAGGGGGCAATACACAGAACTAAGGGTATGCAGACCTCTCAAGAGGGGTCATTTGTTTACTTTTTGCCATGTTTTGTTTTAGGATTGTGCCATTCTGTGGCCTACAGTTGAATATGAGTCCCATAAGAAATAAAAGAAATGTGTTTTGCCTGCTCACTCATGTTTTCTTTAAAAATGTTACATACTGTACCAATTCTCCAAAAGTATGCAAACGTTTGAGCACAACTGGATGTGAACCCTTACCTTGTAAAACAACCCATGCAGTTTAAAATAGAAATGAAAGGCAAACCTTTTGTGTATTTATATTTAAAAAAAAAAATTATAAATATTGTTTTTTTGTGATCACATAATCTTTGTTCTAAGCTGCATAGGGGCTTAGAGATCTAAGGATGAGAAACAGCAGTACACAGATCTCCCAAGTGAATGGCTATACAGGGGTGGAGTGTGTCAGCATATGTCTGATCACTTGAGGACAGGCAGGCAGTGCTCCCAGTACAACCAGAAAACTGACCTATGCCTATAGTGGTCAATTTGAGATAGTTAAGCAGAAGGGACTGGCAGAATCAGCAGGAATTTCACACACAGCAAGCAATACAAAGAGGACAGTATACTTTTACTACATGTGCATGGCACAACATACACATATCAGGGATATGAAATACTAGTGTATCATGGTACGTTTTGGCCAATTTAGCAGGAGGACGAAGAAAATTCGAACTGTCTATGGGGGCCCTAAAGCTTCAATCTGACTAGCATCAGTTATGTTGCTCATAATGTGACCAGGTACCCTGCAACATTGGTTTAAATCAATCATATTTTAATACCCTTTACCAAAAACTTTCAATCCTTGCCTTGTAAAGGCAGTAATACCAGCTACTGCCTCCATATGGCAAAGGTTTCATGTATTTGTTTTCCATTTGTTGGTCAGTAGAGCCACAATTATGTATGCATGTGTATATTAGGGTTGCTGCATGTGTACATTAGGTAAGTGCACATGGGCACTGCTGCTAACACTGGATTTTTGCATTCAACACTGCTGTGTTCAAACACAAAAGCTAGGGGGTCTGTGGAACAGTACGGCCAAAGCCGAAATCTGCCCAGTTATGGTACTTAGGGCTAGAGGCATTCCGACACCAAACTGGACAAAAGCCAACAATTGCCCAGACATACTGTCGGACAGGAAGCTTGTGACTCTAAGGGCAGGGAAAATAAGCATTCTATGTATGATAGTACAGCTTCCTTTAGATAACTTTTTAGCCCTGGGAAGGGCAGGCAGAAGCACCTGTCCCTCGACAGCCATGCCATCAAAGCCAGCAACCATAAAACAGGATGGAAGATCAAACTCTGTGACAACAAGTCTGGCTGATCTAGAAGACCTCACTGTGCCTCTGCCAAGAGGTTTACGATGTCTGCATACCACATTCTTTTTGGTCAAGCAGGTGTGATCAGAATCACTGAGATGCCCTCCACCTTTATCCTGCTCAACGGGGGGGAAAGAGAAGAAG